TCTCACATAAATAAAACACGTTTTTTATATTTGTGAAAATGAAGCAAACAATAAATAATTGTATGGAGGAGGTGCTATAATGCTATCATGTAGTTGATACGCGTCCATTTGATTTTTGATAGACCACATTGATTTTCTTGACTAAATAACATTAACCATGGTTATTACTAATTCTCATTTTTAAAAAAAATTGATTGAATTATCAGCCCTGATCGATTTTAAAATTTACCTTTTTTTCTTGTCAATTAAACGATGAAGTCAATCGATTTTTTATCGATCGAGTCAATCGCTTTTTATACCGGTCAACTTTTTTCCGACTCACCTATTTCGGTTGGTTTTTAAACCGATCGCGTTGTATCGGAAAGGCCTTAGGGTAGGTGGGGGTGGGGGTATTTTTTTAAAATAGAGAAAGGACCTTATAATAAACCATCTATAAATTCTCATATGATTCTTTTATCTTAAAAAATATATGAAAATGAAGAACCTTTCACTCTTATTTCTCACTCATCTCACTCTATTTTTCATTTGTGTTTGTTCACAAAATATAGTACAAACACAATTTGTTTATAAATGGTCAGAAACTTATTGTAATAAGGATACTCCAGTGGGATGTACACAAATTCCTCCTCTCAAATTCACTTTGAATGGTTTTTGGGGCACAGATTCCAATGGAAATATTCAACAAGGTTGTAGAGATCCAGAAACACGTGATTGGAACAAAGTGGTATGATTTTTTTTTTTTTTATTAACAATAATTCTATAATACTAAAATTTCCTTGCCAAGTTACATGAAATTGATTTTCGAAAGTTCACAGAAAAATTATTGCTAATTAATCGATGTGATTGAGAAGTAAAATTAGTCTGATAAAGATGTGGTTCTCTTCTTTCATCCTTGCATTAATGTAGAAATTTGATTTGACCGATGTATTCTATCGAATATTTATGATTTTCTATGAAAATTCGTCAGAATCTGTACGGGAAGAACCAACATTTCATTGAAAATATGTGTATTTTTAGTAAGCTATATTATTGTGTACTTTGGAAAGTATAAATATAATTTGTGTCCATCTCATATATAAAAGATCAATTTTCTTAAAAGATATTGTTATTAATTACTATAATGTCTTTCATAGCTCATACATGTGTTGATCGTGTGATAACCTCCTCTAAAAGATAAATTGTTAGGTACACTATGTTTTTATTAATTTGATTATTTTCTATAAGTCAAACATGTGAAAATTCTTTTTTATTTTTCCTTCTAATGGGTGGAGGTCATGAGATTTAGACCCTGGATCCCTACATGCCCTGGTGTACCACGTTGAATTGAGCAATCATCTCATTTTATCTAAAAGTTAACACTGTCAGAAAAATCATATTTAACTATATCTTCAACAGTACTAACAATTGTTCATGTTTATTAAAGGGGGTCAATATAATAAATCATCTTATCTAGAAAATAATTCATGCCTCTGCCGCTCCTAATAAGATAGTTCAAATTTTATATGTCACAGTTTGATAAGGCGATGGAAAATCAACTCAAGTCATTTTGGCCCTCCCTCACTAAACAAGATCCAAAAGACATGTGGAAGGAAGCTTGGAATACATATGGAACATGTACAATAGAAAACTTCAAAACTCCAACAAAATATTTCAATAGGGCTTCAAGATTGGCTAATGAAATTGGAGATTTATTACAAAGTCATTTAATAAAACTCAAAATGGAATAGTCCCCTTGTGACTCTGCTACATACAACAATGTTGAAATCTTGAACTCAATCAAACAAGTTTCAAAAAATAAGGATGTGTCTTTTACTTGCAAAGACATTAATACAACTCATGCTTATTTGAATCAAGTTACATTTTGCTACATAAATGATGCAAAGCATTTTGTGAATTGTCCAACTTCTGTTACTAACAAACGTTGTCGTGTTCAAAACATTATTGTTCCTCGTCCTTCACCTCCAAAGGTACGTGCTTTCTTCGACATTACAACAAAAGAGATATTTAGTGATAATAAATATTCTAATGATTAAGCAATGATAACTCTTATTCTTGCATATGTTAATATCTTCCATTGAAAAATCAGTCTTAATAGGTAGATCCTATTTGAATTTGAGTATAGGAATAGTCAATCTCTTATAATAGTGACCTTTAATTTAAAGCCACAATATATATATATATAAAAAAAAAAATAAGCCACAATCCAACTATGATTGTAACTATCTTGTTAGCTTTCAACCAAAAGCTAACAAGATTTTTAGTTACATATTTATTATTTAACTAAATTAATAAATATGTCATTTCTATATATATTTATTACTCATTCCTTTTGTAATTTGTTAATCTGATTTTGATCTGACACATAGTTTACGAAAGTAAATTAGATTTTGAGAAAAAACATTAAGTGATACATGAAGTTGTCCCAAATTTTCAAAAAGACACCTTAACTTTGCGTGCGTCCTATTACCCCACAAAACATTCAAAATCACAATAAATACACATTTTTTACACAATATTTCCACTTTGGACAAAAATATCCTTCGAATGTGCAATTTCTTAAAAACAAAAAGTCGGACCCATTATTGATGTATTCAAGGATGCTTTGGTCATTTCCTATGATGAATTCGTTTTGTTTGTTTCTTTTAAATTTATTTTACTATACTAAATAATTGTATAAAATATTATGAATCACGATAATTAATTACTTAAATATTTAAAAGATATAAAAATATATAAAAGATCTGATTGACTCTTCAAATTTTACCGGTGACACATAAATTGGGACAAATGAAATAATATATATTATTTGAAAATTTCTTAGAAAGTACTATAAATTACAGTAATTAACAGCTAGAAATATTTCAAAGACAAAAAAAAAATGATTGAATCTCAAATTTTTTTTAGTACTACATAAATTGAGAAAGAAGAAATGACCTCTATTATTTGAAAATGACGTAAAAGTATTACAAATCATACAATAAGAATTAACAATTTAAAATTTTAAAAGACTTTAATGCTTTATACTTATTCTATTTCCACTTTGGACAAAAATATCCTTCGAATGTGCAATTTCTTAAAAACAAAAAGTCGGACCCATTATTGATGTATTGAAGGATGCTTTGGTAATTTTCCTATGATGAATTCGTTTTGTTTGTTGTTTA